CTTTTGAAAGTAGACTTGAGTACTTGAATCAAGTCAAAAACAACTTTGTTTACTCAATATTGGCCAGTCAAGTGTCCAGCTTACTCAAAAGACAAGCTCTGGAAGTGGCAGGTTCTTTAGAGATAGGACTGGCAACTTCAGAGGCAGGACAAGAGGAAGAGGTAGAGCAAATAGGCTAAGTGAAAACAGAGGACCTTGCCAGATTTGTGGGATGAACAATCACTCAGCAAGTTGGTGCTTCAATAGATATGATGATAGATTTATTGGCAACAGGCTTGGCAATCAAAATCAGCAGAACAAACAGCTCAACTCCTACTCTATTTCTAGCAGATCTGGAAACCAAGAAGATCCTACTGCATGGAGTACTTAAAGATGGGTTATACCAGCTAAAGTTGCCAAGTCCTAATTCCAAACTCACAACCAAAGAGTCAGACATTCAAAATAATTCCACTTGTTTTACAGTGAAGTCCAGTTGTGATGAGTTAACCAAACCAGTCAAGTTGCTTGAGTCTGAGATTGATGTGTAGCACAGAAGATTAGGCCATACTTCAAACCATGTTTTGAGTCGAGTCATGAAGTCCTGTAATAAACCTTTCAAAGTTAATGAAATTTCGGCTTTCTGTGAATCTTGCAAATTTAGAAAATCACATGCACTACCTTTTAAAACATCTTCTTCACATGCTTCAAAACCATTAGACTTAATTCACATAGATGTTTGGGGACCTGCACCTTGGAATTCTACCTCAGGGTTTAAGTATTATATAATCTTTGTGGATGATCATAGCAGGTTCACATGGATCTATCCTATGAAACACAAGTCTGATGCACTTAATACCTTTACTTAATTCAAAAATTTGGTGGAAAACAAGTTTGAAAAGAAAATTAAAGCTCTACAATCTGACTGGGAAGGAGAGTTCAGAAACTTTAGTAAAATTACCTCAGAATCTGGCATAGAACTTAGGCATTTATGCCCCTATACCTCAGTACAAAATGGTAGAGCAGAGAGGAAACACATGCACATCACTGAAAATGGATTAACCTTGTTGGCTCAAGCACAAATGCCTCTATACTACTGGTGGGAATCATTTAAATCAGCAACATTCTTGATCAACAGACTGCCAAGTCCCATACTTAAACACAAATCTCATTTTCAAGTGTTATATGGAAGAGATTTTGATTACAAGACTTTCAAAACCTTTGGCTGTGCATGTTATCCATGTCTTAGACCTTACCAAAAACATAAACTCAACTTCCATTAACAGAGAAGTGTGTTCCTTGGCTATGGTGACACACATAAAGGGCATAAATGCTTAAACTCAAGTGGTAGAATTTATATTTCAAGGCATGTAATATTCAATGAGTTAGATTTTCCATTCAAGTCAGGTTTCCTAAACAAAGTGTCACAACCACAAAATTCCAAATTTTTTGTGAGTTTTCTTCCATTTAACAGTGAGTCTATTCACAGAACAACCCCTCAGAGTACAGCTGATGTAACTCATTCAGATGCAGTACCTGCAGCAGACTTCTCTGATATAGAACTAAGTCATTAGGTGGAATGTGAGATAAGAGGAGAAACTGATAATGAAAAGTTGCATCACAATGAACAAATTGATCAAGAGGTTGCTGACATCAATTAAGGTGAATATGGAGTTCAAAGTATGGGAGATGAACTTAACTTCCAGGATCAGAGTGTCACACAAGCTACTGGTCATCATTTGATCACTAGAAGCAATGCAGGAATCTTCAAGCCCAAGGTTTATACAAGTCGGGCACAGATGAACCGGAAGGAACTGAACCTTTGACTGTTGATGATGCTTTACAAAGTAATGATTGGAAGAAAGCAATGCAAGATGAGTACAATGCTTTGGTGAAGAATAAAACATGGATATTGGTACCTCCTGAGGCTGGAATGAAAGTAATTGGAAATAAATGGGAACATGACACATAAGGAAAAATTCAAAGACACAAAACAAGGTTAGTTGCCAAAGGCTTTCTTCTAACATCAGGAGTCGATTATGGAGAAACTTTGAGTCTAGTTATCAAGGCATCAACTCGGAAAATCATCTTAACTCTTGTTGTTACAAGAGGTTGGCATATCAGGCAGGTTGATGTAAATAATGTCTTCTTGAATGCGAAGTTGAATGAAGTAGTTTATATGGATCAGCCGCAAGGTTTTGTGGATAAAGGGAATCTTGATTTTGTGTGCAAATTAGAGAGAGCTTTATATGGACTGAAACATGCTCCAAGAGCCTAGCATGACAAGCTGAAAAATACTTTGCTAAAATGGAACTTCAAACAATCCCAAGCAGACAATTCACTCTTCTTCTCTGTAGATGGTGCAGATAAGTTGTTTGCACTTGTTTATGTGGATGATATTATAATAACCGGGGATAATGATCAAAAACTATAGGAAGTTATTGACAATTTGAACACATGTTTTGCTCTTAAGGACATGGAAAAACTTAGCCAATTTCTGGTAATAGAAGTGTATAGAGATATAGCTGAGTTGTATCTAACTCAAATAAGGTATGCTATTGTCCTGCTCAAGAAGTTTGGTTATGAGAATCTCAAACCAACACCGATGGCAGTTGGAAAATTAGTCTCCAAGACTTAAGGACAACCCATGAAAGATCTAACCTTGTACATGAGTGCTATTGGAGGTCTTCAGTACTTAGCACACACAAGACTTGATGTAACTTATGCTGTAAATAAATGAGCCAATTTCTCTAAACACCCACAGATACTCATTGGAAGGCACTAAAAAGAGTGTTTAGATACTTGAAGGGAACACTAAACTATGGACTTGCAATTCGTAAGAATGACAACTTTGATATAACCTCATTTGCAGACTCTGACTGGGCGTCATGTCTAGACGATAGAAGATCTACTACAGGTTACTGTGTATACCTTGGAGATAGCATAGTATCTTGGTGTTCAAAGAAGCAACAAATGGTGGCAAGGTCAAGTACTGAGGCAAAGTATCGAGCTTTGGCTCATAGTGCATCTGAAATTATATGGATTCAGTCCTTGCCTAAGGAATTAAAAATACCACATATATCAGTCCCTAGAATTTGGTGTGATAACTTGAGCGCAAGTGCATTAGCTCAAATCCAGTTTATCATGCACGAACCAAGTATATAGAGCTTGATGTTCACTTTGTTAGAGATAAAGGTTTGAAAGGTGAATTGGAAATTAATTATGTGCCATCATCAGACCAAACAGCAGACTTACCCACCAAACCACTTGCTCATTTCAGATTTGTATTCCTTAGAGACAAGCTTGAAGTGTTAGAGATACACTCTATCTTGAGAGGGGGTATTAGAGTAATATGATAATTTGCATTACCAACCAACAAGCAGTATAACAGAATTCTCAGTGCTAGGATTGTACATGCTGATTTCCGTTTTAAGAAACAATATAGGTTGTTATGCCACTTGGCATAAGTTTGTTTTGGTGAATCAAAATATTCCTTTTGTATGTAATTTGCTTGTATAGTTTTAGCTTGTATATAAGTGGAATGAAATGATGAACTTTGTGTGCTGCAAATTGCTCTCAATTAATCTGATTTTAAACTGACATATATGAAGATTGTTATCTAAGTTAGTGGTGATCCACTTATTCTCTACGAGCATGGCACCACCCATAATTGCAGGCGGCATCATCTTATTATTCTAAATTCTTTACCGATTTTAATGGATTTTTCAGATTATATAAAATCCCGGGTCCGCCATTCGCATTCAATTTGAGATGGCAATGAAAATTTTGATAAAGACTATCTTTTTTTTCCCACTCCTATCGCATGGAAGTTGGTCGACTTCATGATTTAGTCCCTGTTTGGTTTAGATAAAAATCACATATTTAATAAAATTTGGTAAAAATTAATGGAATATGTGGTTAAAAAATTGTAAACAAAACAGGGACTTAGTTCATGATCCAAGAGCTCAATGTATATAATTTCCGAGCAATTCGAACAAATAGTATATATGACTACTATATTGGTTAGTCTGGCACGTAGGTTTTCTTGGGTTTTTAGCTTTCTTAACTCACCTTCGGTACATTGTCGTGGTTCCTATTACAACCATCATCGAAAGCTTCCTCTTAATTTGTGTTGGGGAAGTGCGAGTCTTGGTGTTGGTTTGATCATTCTAGGTTCAAAATATCCAACTATTACGGTGAGAAACGATCTACAACTAGCGTCAACATCCGAGTCGAAAAATTCCTAACATAGGTCATTCAAAGCTCGAGGAAAACGGATTTCTAATCGTTCTTAGTAATAGCAAGGTTGAGGTTTATAATCGAAGTGTTGAATTAGCTTAGATAGTATATTATTAACAATCCTTCGGTGTTGTATTTTCCATTTGCTGAAATGGTAAAAATTCAAAGAAAAACTAGCTAGCAGCCAGAATCTAGTTCATTGTAAATAGGTGACTCACCAAATTGAGTAATGTTCACATTTTTTTACTAAAACAATATCATAATCATTGAAACCTACTTGATACTTAGTGCTCAATTAATTACACATTAAAAAATCAAATTTAGAATGAACTATCATGACCAAATTTTTAGAGGCACTATACTTTGTGTTTGGTATATTTGAATAAATAGAGTTAATAGAAAATCAATACATAAAAAGAACGATTAGTCAATATTCAGTCCACCATATCAAATACTTAATTATTGTAGATATATCTGTACGCATAGTCACGTTGGGATTATTATCATCGAAATCATGTGCCGAAGTAGCTCAATAAACCCTAAATTCATATGATTGAGCAAGATAAAAACGATGTCCATTAATTTACAATGAACTACTATTATTCGAAACACGGCTTGTTTAGTATATTTTGCTAAACTGGATAAAAGAAAACCCTAAGACGTCAACACTAGTGTTGTCCAAAACATGCAGGCAACTCTAGCTAAATTAAATTAAAGAAATTCCCTAAGAAGTTAACGCCAATCATTGTCCAGCCCACCATACGAAACATACATACAACTCCTCATCACATAACCACACAAGCGTTGGTATTCTCATCGCTAAAAGCCGTCGTGTACCTCACTTCTGCAGACGAAGCTCGTGCGAGGCTCGAAGGGTGAGGATCGTCGTAGACATTACGCACGTACCCGAGCGGCGCCTTCTTGTCGTAGACCCCCTGGGCATAAGGATGTGGCACCATATCATAGGGCACAAAAGGCCACATCTCAGCCTTCTTCCCAGTACGACGCACGACTCTGCGCAACACTTTAACAGGATCAACATGACCAATAACAGTAAGTTTTTGCATTTTTCGCTCGACTAATACCTGTGTCACCCCTCTCATGTGTTGCACTGATTTTCTCACTTTCTTCTCACACCCTCGACAGTCCATTTTTATCCTTATTTCTACTGTCTGCAGATAAAAAAAATATATAGTTAATTTGTAGTTCATTTAAAAGTTTTATAATTTTACAGCAATATATGTAGCAGCCATAACTAAAACAAGCCAACCTAATGAAACAGGGAAAAAAAAAAAGAAAAAAAGAAGGCAAAAATAAGTACCCGGAGAGGCTTCTTCTTAAGTTTCTCGAGCTTCTTTCTGTCACTCCAAGAAGATTCAAAAAAATTTGAGAATCTGTCCAAAAACCCCATCCTTGCTTCAAAATTAATTGAGCAGTCTTTAATGCAGACTCTCCTTCATATATACATATACAATTTTGTTACGTGTGCATCTTTAACACTGACAATTTTCTATATATTAATTTTAACAACACTTTAAGCAACTAATGACTCAGATTTTGACGCGTAATTAATTCATACGTATAATTAATAGGGCTTCTAGATTCTACAATTTATTGATGCCGCCATTGAAATTTGAAAGTCGTAAGTGTAAAATGCCACCACGTATCAAAGCCAGATGGGACCCTGCAAGCATTATAATTTGAGTTACCTAGGTTAGTCCAATGTTTTTCAAACAAAGATAATAACAAAATAACATTAAGAATAAGTTTGGTAGGACTTTTTTCGACTTCTCAAAAATCTTGTTAAACGGATCTTTAAAATGATTAAAAATTCACTCGACCCTCTTCAAACCTAACTTGATGCTCTATTATCATGAGATGAAAGCAGACATCAAAAATTATATCGAAAAAAGTCTTGTGTGTCAACAAGACAAGTACCTAAAATTAATTTCTATACCTTCTATTCATTTGTGAGATATTTCTTATTTTGATTACTAATGAAAAATAAATTAAATACAATTAAGATTATCTAATAAAACAACAAAATTAAAAAGCTCCAAGTAAAAGAAAGATTTGGTCTCAATAGATAATTATGGTATGAATTTATATAGAATAAATTTGGCAATTAACTCAACAGATAAAATTATCAAAACAAGAATTTTTCGTCCATAAATGCATTTCTCTTCATGGGCAGTCCTATTAAACCCAAAGAAATTAAAAGCAGACATTCTATAACTATTCAAAATGGAAAGGAGCCTAAATTCTAAAATAGGCAATAAATATCCTAAGAGCCCATCTGATGTGACTTTTGCTTCCCGTAGAAGAGTTTTTAAAGAAAGTTACCTTAATTTTGGTTGAGAAACTAATTTTTAAAAGAATTTTATATTCCAAAAGTGTTTTTAGATGAAGTCACATTGAATCAGTTTCTTCTAAAAACTCTTTGAATTAGAAGAAACACTTTCATAAAAATAATCAAAACGTTCAAAAAGTAGTTAAAAGCCACTTTTAACTTTTCAAAAGTCATGTCAAATGGATCGTAAGAGCATCTCAAAGGCATTCATTTAGATATGATGTTAATTGAAGACATTTAGTCAATATGACACCGACTTTGTTTGATTTAGATAAAAATCATAAGCTGGCAGTCACATAATGGATGAATAGGGGAAACCATGCATGATTATGAGATAATGTCCAAAACCATGCATGATTATGAGATAATATCCAAACCATGCCTCCACTATCCCCCTCCCCTTTGCGTATCTGCACAATAATGGGTTATGATTTTGTCTGATAATTAGATAAGGGATGGGCGTAAGCTTAAACGCGTTCAAATACATGGTGAGTCAGTCACGGAGCTAGATAAGTTTTTCTTTGTAAGGATAGATATTAAGTTTCAATTTTCTTCTGCTACATCATAAAAGTAATATAAAAACTTGAAAAGAAAATTTGGAAAAAAACATGTGGGGGCGACTCCCTTCCCCGAACCTGGTCTTTGGGACGGGATATTGTGACAAAAATATCTGACGGGTCAGGAAATGAAAATGGACGTCCCGTTCACGACCCGTCTCGTTGTTATCCTACTACCTCACATGAACCGTCGTAAATCTGCCACGACATATACCGCGATATGACCCCTATGGAAAAGTTGCATCTGGATATTGATAATGGCATTAAAACGTTAAGTTCAACAAAACACTCATGAGCGGTAAGACTTTGATAGTGTTGGCAAATGATTAAGCAGAACTCCAATTAAAATACAACATTATATTATCATGAATTCCAAGGATGATGACAGTGACTATAACAATAATCAAGAATTCATAGAATATACTTTGCAAACCGCTTGACGTTGGGGAATAAAAATACTATATCAACATTAAGCAGTTTTACTAATCAATAAAATAGACATAGCGTCTAAACACAAATAATACAATAAGTTGGGCGAGGTAATTAATATTATTTTTTGCCAGTAAATAAACTTTGATTCTATTTCAATTCGACAACTGCACTTCAATTTTGTTCAATCCGATAACTATATTTTAATATAATTTCAATCGAATAACGACACTTTAATTTGATTTCAATCAACCAACACTTCAATTTGATTTTCATTAAAGTAATTTCTAACATAAGGTATTCATTTTACAACACAAGGTATATGTTATTCATTTATTACAAAAAAAGAGCATATTTTTGTAGCCTTTGTTCATGAGGTATTGTTCATTTAGAGAGAGAGAGAGAGCATGTGTCCATCTACCATCATGAATTCCTATCGCTAGTGGAGATATTATTTAATTCTACATATTATTTAATGTCAAAGTAACACCATCTAAATTGGATTATATCCCTAGTGGAGCTAAATAGTATTACTCATTTCAAAATGAATAGTACATCATGAGTTAATGGTTTAAGCACAATAATACTATTAAGGCCTTGTTTGATTTTAAAATGAATAGCACATTATGAGTTACTGGTTAAGCACAATAATACTATTAAGGCCTTGTTTGACAACATACTTTTGGAAAAAAAATATTTTGAATAGTGATTTTTAAGAGAATGTAACATTAAAAAGTAGATAGAAAATTTTAAATTTACGTACAGAATATTTTATGTATGAATTTATGATTGAAAATAAGTGTATATAAAAAAAAGTTTAAAAAGTATGATGATCAAATAGGGGCTGAACCTTCCTCCAAGCCAACATTATTTGCAAACCATGATTCAAGAAGGGTAATTAGCACATAACATCCTCACCTTTCATTGTTATTGTGGAAAACGTCAATACATTTCATTTTTTGACATTTTCACCTTTTATAGTGCAAAAGGTCATTTTCATCCATTTTCTTAATTAAAAATTGTGAAATGATGAAATTACCATTTCCTTTAAATAAAACAAAAGAAAAAAGAAAAAATTAATTGCAAATATAGTCCCTCACTTTTTTGAAAAGTGCAAATAAGTTTCAAATAAATTATTAGAAGGGTAATTAGCACATAATGTCCATATCTTTCACTATTATTACGAAAATCATCCATACCTTTTATTTTATTTTTTTTCGCATTTTCTCCCTTGATTATAATTTGATATTACAAACTATCATTTCTATCCATTTTTATCCAATTTCTCAATAAGGAATTGTGAAATAATGAATATACCCTCGTATTTAAATAAAAAATATAATTTTTAATTTCTAATTCTTTAATAATTTATTTCGTACTCGTTTGTACTTTGTACTTTTTATTTTATTTTCAAATTTTTAAATAAATTTAATTGGGACTCGTTTGCACTTTTTAAAAAAATTGGGACATTGGTTGCAATTAATTCTTTAGTTTTTTTATTGAAATATGAGGGTATATTCATCATCCCACTGTTTTTATTGAGAAATTGGATGAAAATGGATAGAAATGATAGTTTACGCTATCAAATTATAATTAAGGGAGAAAATACCAAAAAATAAAATATATGGATGATTTTCGCAATAATAGTGAAATGTAGGGATATTATGTGCTAATTACTCTTTTAATAATTTATTTGTGACTCATTTGCGCTTTTCAAAAAAAGCCCTATGTTTGCAATTAATTTTTTTCTTTTTCCTTTTGTTTTATTTAAAGGGAAGAGTATTTTCGTCATTTTCACAATTTTTAATTGAGAAAATTGATAAAAATGACATTTTGCGCAATGAAAGGTGAAAATAAGGGTGAAAATACTAAAAAATGAAAGGTATTGACGTTTTTCACAATAACAGTAAAAAGTGGGGACGTTATTTGCTTTATGCCTCATCCACGTGCCGTATTTTGAACTTTCCATATCATTTGGTTAGTTTTTGTTTGCTTGGTGTATAAGTTAATTTACACCCTTATTTTCATTCATTAATCACGACAAATTGTGATTTGACAGTTTAATATATTTTTTCATTCAATCAATGTTTGACAATCAATTTTTAAAACCCATGTAGATGTTGGATGAAATAGAGGTGAATCA